CGCAGATCTTACCCCTGATCTTCACTGAGGTCTCTGTCCAGTCATTACCCCTTGGAGAAGCCTTCTGTGACCACTTTATCTAAAGTAGACCTCATTCTTACTCCTTGCCATTCTTTCTTCCCTTACTCTGCTTCATTTTCCTTTATAGCACTTAGCACAACCTGAAATTATATATTTAATTATTAACCTATTTTTTACTAGGACACAAGACATGTGAAGACAGGAACTTTGAATGCCTGCACCTACCTAAGTTCTGAGCAAGACCCTGATTGACTTCTTCTCTTTTATAGGTGAGCCCTTTTCCCAGAGGAAATTGCTGAAGAGGAAATCACTGACTGAGCTCAACCTTGGTGAGTGAGGGTGCCTGGGCAAACTCTGGGCAAGCTTGGGCCAAGATACAGAGTAACTGGTTTGGGACTTATTTTTACCCTTAGTACAGATAACTTACAGGTGATTAGTCTCTTATTCCATGTCTAAGAGATTGGCATAGGTAGCCTCCTGTACGGAGAGAACTGAACTTGGTTTATTAGGGCTGCCACAAGAGAATCTGGGATCATTCTCTATGAATAAGGCAAACAGGCTCAATTCTTTCTGGCTTCTGCCAGCTGCTTTTTGCTGGGCTGGGAGATGGTGATATCCTGAACCTGGCAGCTAAAATCATCCTTCCACAAGCTCTCAATATGACCTCATAGCCCTTAGAGACTTCCCTGATTTCAGTCTTGACTGTAACCCACCAAGCCCATAGGTCAGCTTCAGAAAATTCTGTAGTTTTATCACTCCTGAAAAATATGATCACGAGCAGTATGGTGAGGGTGGAGTGATAGAGTGGGACCATGTGGAGGGGAAGTCAGGGGAAGCTTTAGAGGGAAAACTGCAGACAGTGAGATGGGAAGGGGGAAGGGAAATCAGTACATTAAGGACCAATTATGTTATGGCTCTTATTTACTTGAGACAAAACACCATTCTATAAATGAAGGAATCGAGACTCAAGAGGCTTAATAATTTGCCTAGGGTTCACACCCAGGAATCTATAAAGCTGATGTTAGAACCCAGGTCAGTCTAACTGTAAATACCATTGTTCTCCCTGACTTGGCAGGCTTTCCTTGGACTGCTAATCTTCTTAGAATTCTGATTTTTCTTGTTAAATTCAAGAAGACAGATTTCCTTAGGGATTTGGGAAAGAGGTCTAGTTATTTGAGGGGCCTAGCAGGTCAGGCAGGAGTTGGGGTTCTCTAATGAGCAATGGAGTTTCTAGTGAGGGAGCCAAGAGGCTCAAAGATAGGAAGAATCTTCAAGCAGGCAGAGGCCCAGGCTAAACACCTATAACATATGAGATCCTTTAAACACTTGGGCCAGCACAGACGGACCTGGAGAGCTGGATTGGATTTGGGAAATAGGGGTTTTTATTTTCTCTTTCAACATTTGCCCTTGGGCAATGTCCATTTTCCTCTTTATAAAATCGGAGTGCCTCCTTGCACCCCCACATGTCTTATTGTGTGTATGCCAACCAAGCAGGATGTTGTAGAGAATCAAATGAGAAATGCAAGTCAGAAAGCTTTGTAAATTGTAATGCAGCATGTCCAAAATGAGAGAAAGTGAGAAGAAAGCATTCCAAGTATCCCTGATAGCTCAGTCCCTGACCTATTTGCCACTCCAATCCCCAAAGGTAAAAGAGAAGTTTTTCTTTGGAAATTTGTGCTGCAAATCTTCTCCCATGCCCTTCTCCTCTCCTTCTTCTGCAGGCTCTACCCAAAGCTCAATCTTTCCACAAGGGTAAGGATTCCAGGGCACAGAGACAAAGCCAAGCAGCACCAGCAGCCATGATTTGCAGCATGTGGGCTGCACAGTGCAGGTTTAAATGCACTCACGTAGCCTGGCTCCAAGGCCACTGCCAGCACAGATATTAAAGCAGTTTTCAAGAGCCCATCTCAGCATGTGTCTGCACTCACTGACTAGTTCCGCTGAGATGTTGCCTTGTTCCCTGCCGTCATCTTAGAAGAGGAAGGCTATTCCTATTCTCCCTAGGTTCCCTGCCCACCCCAACCTCCCACCCTCCAACTGCTAGTGAAAAAAGCACTTATTCTGTAGCCTTATATCCTATCAGAGGCCATGTTTTTCCACCATCTCTCTCTTGTCCTTGGCCAGTGATATAGGCCACTCTTTTCACACTCTAATAATGGACGTTCTGTTCTTCCCTGTCTTCTTGAAGATGTACAGAGGAGTGTCTCCTTCCTGGTGCTCTTGGTTCATCAACCTTCTCTCCTACTCTGAATCTCCAGACTCTTGCTGCTACCTCTTTTTGTCTGGTTAATCAAAAATTTTATAGCTTCTGGATTTTCCATGTCCTGGGTGCCAAGTTTGGACCTTCTTATTCATGTAACAATTGCCATGTGAAGAAGTTCCACTATTAACTATATTTTAAAATATGAATGATTCTGTGTAAAAAAAAAGTATGTAATATACTGATATCTATATATAGTATCTTATTTACCTAACATCCTAAATTTTCTAGAGCCTAACTAAAAAACAAGAAGGAAGCAAGTCATTTTTATCCTTAAGCCTTTGCACAGCACTAATTTATCCTTACTTTTACATGTTGTTGTAACAGGCTTAGCAATCTAGATTCTAAACCCCCCATAAGATTAAAAGCAGCATATAAAAAAGTGGGGAGGAGCTGCTATATCAACAGCAGATAGAGGTGAGAGCTGAGAGCTAACAGTAGGGAGGGGTGAAAGGAATGATAAGAAGTTAAAATGAGTATGGAGGCCATTTAAGTTAGGAGAACAGCCCTACAGACATGTCTGTGCTTTAGTAAGGTGGGCCTAGGTCATTTTTAAGGTAGGTCCAGGATTCTATTAAAGGCCAAAGGTATCAGAAAATGTTAAATTAATTATAGTGTCTACTATTTATGTGCTACCGAATGCTTTACATAAATCGATTTCATTTTCATAGCAACTTAGGAGTTAGGTGGTGATATTCTTATTTTAGAAATTACTGAGACTTAGAGAAGGGGCACACTGGGAGTGATTGGAAGAGCTAAGCTTAGGACCCAGAAGAGTCTTGCTCTAGAAAACCAAGTTTTTCTATTGTCCTACGCTGGCTCTTTCCTGTGATCTAAAACGCTGGTCTTTTTCAGGCTCTTGGGTTAGTGGTCCTCGCCCACTACTCCCCTTTATTCATTCTCCTATATAAAATTTTCCTTTTAAAGACATTCATTCATTTGTGACTACTGAGTGTCTATCATAGGCAGTTTTAAGTGTTTGAAATGTAGCAGTGAAGAAAGTAGTTTTCTCTCTTGTAATTTGCATTCCAGTGGTGAAAAATAGATTTAACATTCCTGGTTTTGGCAATTTATACCTTCTCTTTTTTTTCTTGGCCAATCTTACTAAAGGTTTGTCAGTTTTGTTGATCTTTTCAAAGAACAAAGTTTTGGTTTCATTTTTTTCTATTCCATTGATTCCTTTAATCTTTATTATTTCCTAACTTCAGTTTGCTTTCTGTTTAGTTTTCCCTTCTTTCTCTAGTTTCTTAAGGATTAATTTTTTTTTTTAAAGCTCTGTGCAGCCCAAACAAAATTTTCCTTCAGGCTTGACTGACATGTGGCTATCAGTTTTCTCTTAATGTAGTAGTCGCTGGAGAAGTATCTGGAGCCTCAAAGAGGGCTAACTCAGAAACAGTGAGGGAGACAGTGGTCTCTAGTATATTCCTTACCAACAAGGAGGAGACTAGGGCTAGATCCTTAGTACTGGGTAGCCTGGACCCTGCCTGCCTGTCAGCACTGGGCAGGCGTGAGCTTCATGTAGGTGATGGAAGCAGTGCAGCAGGAAGTCAGGGCATACATGGAATGCCAGAGCTTCCCTAGGCTTCTGAGTAGATTTTGCCTGATAGAGAGCTCGAGATAGCTGCCCACTTCACAGACTTCAGAGATAAAGATGGCTTTGGAAGCCTTGTAGAATACCTGTGTTGCCTGTTAATGACTGACATTCTAAGCATTGATTAAAGAAATAGGCTTAAATATAAATCTCATTGAAGTGGCAAGAGCTCTGAGCAGTGCTTGGGCTTGCTGAGTACTTATCTGTAGCCTTTAGTTGCCTTATCTATAAACAAGGAACAGTTCTACCCAGCCTACTGTGTAAGTCACATTTCAGATAAATGCTGTTTAAAACTGTTAGATACTTATCATGATAGGGACCTGGAACAGAGTCTGAGAAGGTCTCAGAGCAGTAGCAGTGCATCAGCACCCTTCAAAGTGAGGGGATGATATCTGACCAAAGTAGACTTTGTAGCTGAGTAAGACAGGAGGTTGTCATTGTCTGCCAGTATAATCATACGATGGCCCCTAGAGAATTCTGTTGAGACAATCTGAGGGAGACTATTAGAGCAGCTCACATAAGAAGCAGCTGTCCTTGTTCTCTCCCCACCCAGGAATTTTGCCCACATTTTTTATTTTGGTTCCAGAAACAGCTGGCTTTTCTTGAGAGTTGCTGTCACAGAAAAACAATAAGGCCCAGCATACTTGTCAGGAAGGAATAGTGTGCAAAGGGCTCTGGGTCCCCTTGGGCCCTGTGTCCCCTCCTTTCTTCGTCAGTTTTCATTGAAACTAAGGAGGCTCTTTTTGTCCCACTGGACCAGCAGGCCAGACGTAAGAGAGGCTGATAGGTCCTGTAGGTCATCAGATCAACTAGAGGGCAGTTCTGAGGATATTGGCTATGGCAGAGAAGTAGGATCCTGAGCCTAAGGTTAAAGCCAAGAAATCAAAAATCTAAGCTGAGAAACTGGGAAATAATAGATCAGGAAACCAAGGTCTGTCAGCAACTGGTGCTAGAACCCTGAGATGAGTAGTACATGAATGAATAAAGGGGACTTATGATCTTACGATGGGGCAGATGCAGAAAAACAAAACAAAACAATTCTGCAAAAGACCATATTAACACAAAAGGAGAAATTGCTTATTTTGAATTATCTGTCATTTTGGATCATGTAATTTTAGTTCTTTAGTCTGTTACTGTGGTAAATAACATTGCTAGATAAACCCTTCTAAGGCAAGGTATGTTTTTCTTTATTTTAAGTGCATTTTTACTTTTTATTCTTATCAAATATACACATTCATATAGTTTGTTTGTTTTTACACCTACAGCACCCAGTCTTCCTAGGTGGTCTCCCATCCAAGTACTAACCAGGCCCGACCCTGCTTAGCTTCTGAGATCAGACGGGATCGGGCGTGTTCAGGGTGGCATGGCCATAGACTTGAATTATCTGTCATTTTATATTATCTGTCTCTACTCTTCCCATACCTTTATACCATTCTCCATCTCCCCAATTAGCATAATCAGTTAAGAGTTACTGGTCT